CAATGAATTGACTATAATACTATATAGGTTGCAATAATAATAAAAAGAGCCATCGATCGGAAATCCAATTTATCGGGCTCACAAAATGAATAAGAATTTGTAAGTAAGATATTTCATGTCCAGATGCTCGTTCCAGCGCTGGTCCGCAGCAATCTTGGGGCATTCAAATTGATGGTAAGGGTACGTTTCACCATTAGAGGGGACTTATTAATTCCCCTTTCGACAGGCCGACCGAGGAGGCCATAAATTCACCTCAACCAAAGGGATGACCAATTTCAGAACATTTACGAGCCACAAATTACGCGACCGCTGAAATATACTGGGCTAGGGACGGCAAAGAACGAAGGGTAAGCGGGAGAAGAAAAAGCCCAAATGTTAATTTAATGTTGAGAGCTACACAAAATTGCTTCAGTCCTTAAGATGGGAGAAATATTGGACGCTATCCGCGAAAAGGTCCAGATACTAATTTTATGCGGAGTAAATGAGCCGGCGGCGCAGAAATGTTGAATCGATATTCATTTGGCTAAGCGTATTGCTAATTTTCATTATTGTACGAATTTATTTTAATGTGAATATCCTTTATTTATTCACTATATTTATCTTATGCTATAGTATAGTTGATGAAAGCATTATGTATAATGAAATATATGGTGAAGTATGTCTTCACCAAGCCTTAATTAATTAGTTGAAAATGTATGATCTATGTACTCAGCTTATTTGCTTTTTTGCTTAGCTTACAAACAAAATGTGTCCGATTATAATTGAGCAAATTACATAAAACTATTTGTGTTAGTGTTAGACCAATTTTACGCGAGCTAAGCCGTAAGAACTCATTCATAAAAATGTTTTCAAAGTGGTATAAAAGGTACTTGAGAAGGGTTAACTTGGGCACATTTGCAAGAGCGACGTACAATTTTGTTCAACATATAGTACGAGTATATGGGGAGACGAGTTCAACACTGTATTCAAATGTGTAGCTATGTACATACATATGTGGGTCTGTAAATATTTATGCTCAATTCAAAAAACAAATAAGACACGCATTTTTTTATTTACGTAGCTCAGTAAAAATATATAATATTTGCAGAGTAATTTTTGTTTATTGTAATTTATTCTAATATTTTACTTGTTCATCTTTACATAGCTTAGTAGCAAATACTAAATGTACTTAATGTGTTTAAAATAATACGTCCATTTATGTATTATATGAAATTAGTGTACATATTTATAGTAACCAGTAAAAATGAGTTAAATAGCTGACGCCCCTTTGCTTTATTTAGTTAGAATTCATTCATAATAATGCATGAATTCTAAACTAAATTATATAAATATCAGCTTGATTGAGAGAATTTACTTATGGATATTGTTGTTCATGTGTTAATATACCATTTACCTCGTCTTACTTTTATTTCAAATGTCTAAAGAAACTGAAAAAATCTGATAAAATTTCTATTATCAGAGTGGGCTAGTAATAACCATATTTTAAACGATCCCATAAAATACATTCTTACTCAAATATTCGCTAATTACTTTATTATTAACGTTTTGATTGTTATTCCAATGTGACCTCTTTTTCAAATAACAATAAGATTTCACTTATTATTCAAACATTATACATGCGCTAGGATTCTAAATGTAATTTAAATGCTAATTTGCATAAACGATAAGGGTGTAATCGCGGTTAAACAATACAGTGCGCGACAAATTACACCCTGAGTAAAAGTAGGAATTCATTTTTATTTCAGTAATTTTATATTGATGGAGGTATTTTGGACATTAGGATCGGGTTTGTGTAATATTTTACCATATCCATAACACCAAGGCTCGTATGAGTTATAGTATTATGAAAAAGAGAAAACAAAACATTCGGCAAGTTTACGCTTTTAATGGCAGTTTTATTGTTCGCGTCGATATATCTGTGGCAGTTTCGTAACGTTGTGCGAGCTAACTGTTTTATCACTTTATTGCATGAGATCACATAAACTTGCGAAGGCGATGGCAATAAAATGTTACTATACAGGGAATGTACTATGGAACTGCTTATTGTGTGAGATGAAATCCTCAACTATATGTCATAAGCTGGAATTTTAGGTTATAATTTAGATTTTCTTATCCCCAACGTAAGATTGCTATAATAAGTTTGGAATCTAGTTTGAGGATAGAAATAGTAAAATTTGTGATCTGATTATGTGATCAAAATTCTTCATACTAGCACCTACAAGATAACAAAAACACAAAATAAAATGAGAATTGGATTATGATATTAATAATAATAAAATTAAATATTTTTATAGAATCATTGCCAGGACATATACAACTGTGCATATGTTAAAATAGACGACTCTACCTACCATAATTGGAATAGTTTCAGTTTGCTATTTTTCTCTTTCCGATCATTAAACTCAATCAGTTTACCTTTGTAAACGTTTTTAAATGAACAAGTATACGAGTAATACCGCTTTCTATAAAAGAAGAATATTTTAAGACAATAATAACTACGAACAGAAAGTAAGTAGAGCATTTATAGTAATAAAATAACATACCTATTACAGAAACATATGAAAAGTGTCTTGGAAATACAGTGCTATAGAAGTTATGACTTTATAAGTTAGTTTCAAAGTTTCATAGCTATAACTAGAATTGTAGACCATAAGATTTGTAGACATTTCATAGTTAACTTCGCTTAAATGTGCCTCACCACTCTAGCATACCCTAGCTTTGTGAAGCGTCAAACGTTAATCACTTCGGTTGCCACACCGTTTTCATCATGATACTCTATAATTGCTCTGTCTTGAACTCACTAATTTGCTTTTCGCTGACGGACAGTTCATTTGCAGTTTAACGAATGACCTTAAAATATTTACTTATTGGTTTTCTAAGTGCAACAGGTCCCTATTCCATAATCTTAGACTAATACAACTGCGCTGTGTATTATATATGTATATTAACTTAAATATCTGATATACAGAGTTTAAAATCGAAAGAAAGAAAGAACAGATAACCGATGTTGTAAAAAGTGGAAATCATAAATATTTAAGTTATCAGGGAAGGCGTCATAAATTGGCGCCAAGAACTGTTCTATTCGTATCTGCTCAATGAATGGATGCTTGAAAAGTCTTTCACTTTAAATTAATGAAGTTTACAATGCACTAATGTTAATTCAAATATCAGTGTAATGGAGTACAGTAAGAAAGCTTTAAAATAAATATAGGAAAAACGTAGCAGGTACTTCTCACACAAATTACGTATAGTTAAGCTAACTATAGGTCTTCCCACTTCGCAATATAAAATCAAATAAACGTTAAGTGCAAACCGTGCCCATAATATGTCTACCCGGTCTGTCCGCATTCGAGAATTCGATTTAATTAGCTCGCTGTAAACGGCCACTTCAGGCATGTGGTAACGGCATTTTATACGCGAGTGCTCTTCTCATTTTATTTTATGTTTTATTTTCGTTACGACTTAATTAACATACTATTCATGACTATAACGATTCTGTGCAATAAATTCATTAAATTAAAATTCATTATACTTCAAAGTGCATAGGTACATTCACTCGCCGGAAGTGTTAGTAGAAATTCATTATTAATTTTGTTATATTTTAGATATCTATTTTTTATATGCCACTTTTGACTAATTATTGTTTTGTTACTTTCCTTCTCTGTGTGTTTGTTTTGGGAAAAATACTCATTTTTTTTACTATTACCTACTTCATTTTTAATTAAAATAGTAGTTGTGTTCCCGCTCGCAAATTTTCCAAGTGACTTCGTGACATATGTATTCATGTCAATTAGATACATATAATGAATACTTTAAAATATGAAGTAATGAAATTTATAGAATTTGAAACCTTAATCAAAAAGTTATAATGAAACTGGTGTCTAAACCTAAGTTTAGTTTTATTAAAAATAAAACTACTATTTATTACTAAAATAAATAAAAAAAAATTCATAATACAACTTGGGTTTTGTCACCAGATATGGGTGAAACCAAAAATGAATATAACTGATTATTATGTTATTGATATTTGATAATGAATTGTTAAGATATTGTACTACGAAATAAGATGGTTCTATCCTAAGAATAAAATTTTCATAGTATCATAATCAATATCAAAAATCAAATCATAATTTATTTATTACATTTAATTAGAGAAACTGACAAGAGTAATTATCTTGGCCTACATACCCTACTTTTATTTAATTTACGGAAGAAAGAAACAGTATATTCTAAAAAATATCCTTTATAGCATGACGAATACAGGAAACTATATTCTTTTTCTTATTACTCCAAAATCCAAAATACAGGCCAATTCTGTAAATGCAAATTTATCTGAAATGTTTGCTTCTTTTATGTTAAACGGTATAAGTTAAAGTTATATTATTTTTCTCCTCACAAATATGGCAGCTAATAAATTTATTTTTGGATATTTTGATGCAAAAAAATTACCAATTAAAATGTGCTAATAATAACTTTATCGGCTACAGAAAAAGACTTAAGAATCGTAAATTTATTACAGCGTTTAGTGATATACGGTTTGCCAATTACTAATTACAGTTTCTGTAAAGTTATCCTACAAGTCATCTGATCAAACTTTCTGGCCACGACTTCGAAACAATCAAGACGTTCAAGGGATAACAATTGGATTAGTACTGACTTTAGTTCAAGAAGACAGATTGCAGCATGTTCTTTTCTTCGAGTCAGAGATTGTTTGTACTTTTATTTCATTGAGCCTTTTATCGACGCGATAAAAAGTTCGCAAAGGCTATTCACGGTGTTTAGCCACAAATTATATACAAAAAGAAAGGCACATTATAATAATATTAGATATCATAAAGTAATAAATCATTCTTCAGCCATTTGCTTTCAAAGTTGAAAGCAAAAAACCCTTCGATCTCGAAATCTCTCATAAGTTTATGATGCTTGACTTTATACAATAAAAATACTAGACCCTTTTATAAAATGAACGAAAAGGGCAAAGTATAAATAGTGTATCTTACCTTGGAATAAGATTCTTCTCGTCGAGTTCTTTTAAGAAAATCGTAGAATATGCAAAGAGGTAGAACCATTATAGCAGGTTCTTTACAAAGAGTTCCTGCAGTGGCGAACAATAGTGTTCCAGCTAAGGTAAGCCACTGATAAATTTCACAAGTATCTTCACTGACACTATCACTATTTTGACACTTTAGTCTCACTGTTCCAGTGTTCATGTCGCAAGCGTCTAACACTTTCATTGGTCCAGCTTTGCCAGCTTTTAACAACCTACGAAAGTTCATCATAATATGCTGTACTAAACCGTGACAGCTTAGTCTAAATTGATCGCTTGTTGATATTTGTTGGTGAATAACACTATTCTTATTAATATGTCGGCATTGTCCTCTGTGTCGGTCTTCGCGTAGGCGAATATGTTCACTATAGAGTAAAAAGCTTAGTAGAAAGAAGTTACAGGCCGCTAAGTCTGCTCTACCTACAATGCCTGCTACAGCTTCAGTGTGTATAGGATGAGCTGCAAATGTCAATCCAGCAACAACGGTTCCCACTCGTATACAGTAAGAAGGCAGTAAGCGTCGCGCTACTGTCACTACCAGTGCAGTTGCAATGCAGTGTAGTACGACATTAAAAAAATGGTAACTCCATGGTCTAAATCCAGTGAAAGCATAGTTGAGTCGATACGTGGCGACGCATAGTGGTCGGTAGGAGCCGTGGGAACCAGGGTCTGCAAGCGGTGTTCCCCAAAAATCGTTTTCAAATAACGCTTCTATAGGTGTGTGCCCGATGACGTCCGGATTGGAGAGGATCGCCCGCCTGCAAATAAAATTGCCTTTTAAGCTACAATGCTTGATATTCGATGTGTTTTATAAAGAAAATTCAGTGATAGTCGTTTTATATTTATAGTGTTAAATTTAATTTGAATCTTATGGTTTCGAGTAATTAGTATTATTTATTATATTTTCCTTTAAATAAGGACTCCGTAAGGGTCATTATTTGATATAATAAAAGTAGATGTAGGTTCTGTATATAGTATAATAAGTATTGTTGGAGCTAAGCTTTATATTATGACAATGATGTTGAGGTGAGTGCAGATTATTATTTACACACAGATAATCAAAGGCGAAGCTGATAATATCATTCAACTATATTAACATACGATGTGTGCACTTTGTAACATACAAAGCGTATGAGAAATGTGTAAATGACAAGTGTAATGTACACTACGATGATCAATTATTAATTATCCGATAAGAGTTGTTTATTATATTTCTGTATTATATACCTATATTTTTAATGTACAGTTTAGTAATTATTTTATGTAATGTCTTGTCACCGCTTTAAAAATGTGCAAACCAATACTGTCAATAAATAATATTCATCCTTTAATATACAGTTAGGATATGTTTAAGGTACGATGAAATCTCGACCATGATCTTTGCACTTAACATATGAACCTGTTTACGAGATAGAAGAGTCCACTTTTATTGTAACTTATCTCATCGTATAATCGCAAAACCATCAATCAATTTAGATGTCATCCATTAATTATGGTTTGATCAATCGACTGTCATATGAAAAATAAATGGTTAATGACGTTCGTCTATTGGTAGCAATAAATTCAAGGTTTTTCTGTCATGTAATAATAAGATGGTACCTAATAGATAGATATGGAAATTGCTTTAGTTAAATTTATGCCGGTAATTCTATTTTGTCGAGTTTCATTTACTTTAGAACCATGATTTTAGGGTTACGTAAGAATAGAAATTCACTTCAATTAGAAATAATAAATCCTTGTGTTGATGTGTAGGCTTCTATTCAAATCTACGTAATTACACAGTATAGTATAAAACAAAGTCGCTGTCGCTATCTGTACGTTTAGATCTTTTAAACTAGGCAACCGATTTTAATTCTATTTAACCTATAGACAGAGTAACTCGAGAGGCAGGTTTAAATATATGTATAATATATTGACATCTGTGCGAAGTCGAACCGGGCAGTAAAGTAACAAATAATCTTATTTTTTAAATATATATTTTTATGGTATAAGGAAAGGTAAACATTGCATATATACACGAACAGCTCTACCCGTGATACCACCTATACTGTGATTACTGATATGTTTGACCCTCTAAAATATTATAATATTATTGTTGAAATATTAAACCTCATCAAATTTATTCGCAATTAAAATTTTAGTAAACAACTGAAAACATATTTGTACAGAAACTTGAGTACAAAACACAACTGAACTGAACTAATAACATTCCAGTTTTTGTCCGAGATTAAAAATATAGCGGCGTTAGGCACATTCATCAGCTTTGATTAAAAAAGTTTTTCAGTATAACTTTTACGGAGTTTGGTTTTACCTTTTTAATGAAACATAAAGGTCAATACTACAAACAGCTTGTACTGTGCCACCCTGTGTACATTTTTGACACCTATTACAACGTAGACGGTCTCTTGGGAAATTGTATATTAAGCAAACTTCTGATGCAATAACAAATAAAAAAGATAGTTAAATAACAATTTTTGTACTATTATGTATTATTTGTAGACATTTACTTGAGGCATACATAATTATTTCTTTTTATACTACAATGACAATCAAGCCCACGGCCTATCTGATGAAAAGTAGTGATCGTGGCATATATACATGAACACCACTGTAAGCGACGCGTTCTGTCTTAAAAAACAAAATAATTAAACTGATGTTTGTCTTTGTTATTGTCTCTGCATGCGGTGTCGTAGTCGTTTTCAAAAAAACTTATAACCGGCGCAACAGACGCCACGCAGTCTGCACCTAGATGCGATCGACACCGCACGTCATATCTCTAATTAACATTATAAAATTTATGTGTCGAAAATAAATCCAATTGTCTTAAAAGTCTTCGTTTGCCATCACCGTGACCTACCATATTTTATACCATACATTTGGTCATTCGGCCGGATTTATGTACCGCACACCACCAGCGCACAAAATGGTAGGCACCCGAAGTACTGCACGCAATAAGGACTGCATGCAGACGGAGCAGCATCCTGGTTCTGAACAGTATCAAGATACGCCACGGCCGAGTAATATGAAGCCTACAGAAGAGAAGACGGTGACCGTTATGAGCACAAATTCAAAAGCGGGTACTTGTAAAGAAGAATGCCAACCGTCGACGCCCGTTACAACGAAGCGTGCAAAGTCCACGAAGTCTTCGTATTCATCTGTACTGGCACGTAAAAAGCAGTTAGAACTCGATGCTGCACAGAAGAAAGCTAAAATTCAAATGGAATTAATTGACAAACAATTGGAAGCAGACCTAGCTGATTTAGAAGCAGAATACAGTCCAGACCTAGAGGATAATCGCACCAACATTAATAGTAATGTGGAGAGGTGGGTCGAACACAGCCAGCAAGAATTGGAAAACACACAGTTTGCCCACGATCATGGTTTTCAACAGGGTGACACGTGTCCGCCAGCAATAGATTCTGGCACTAATGGTACTACAGTTCAGATGCTAGCAAGCGCTCTAAAGAACATGGCCGCCGCCTCTGCGAATAGCAACTCGAATGCTAAATTAGTGTCTCGATTGAGCACGCCGAAGGATTTGCCATACTACTCAGGGGACCCCATGGAATGGCTGCAATTTAAACAGGCCTATGAAGAATCGACTGAAGTCTGCAACTTCAATCCGAAGGAAAATTTATGGCGTTTACGGAAATGTCTACGTGGAGCCGCAAAGGAAGCGGTATCAGCTTTACTCATCAGCGCCGTAACTCCTGATAAATTAATGGCGACACTGGAACTAAGGTTCGGTAATCCAGATATAATTATATCACGCTTGATACAAGAATTAAAAAAGTTACATCCAGTGTCACAAGAATATCAAAAGGACATAGTGTACTTTGCTGTGAAAGTGCAGAATTTCGTGGAAGCAACACGAGCCGTCGGCCGCCAGGAATATTTACAAGGTATAGATGCATTTACATTATTATTATCTAAGATGCCAACTGTTCTTGTATCTAAGTGGTCAGATTATAGTTACACACTGTTACTAGAAAGAAAGAAATCTAGATTAGAATTATTATCCGAATTTCTAACTCAAGAAGCAGTAAAGATTTCCACAACATCTAACTTATGCTTAATAAATGCACGCAGCGATAAATATAAAAATTATGATAATAATATAAGTAGCAGATCACATTCTGTTTTAGTACTGAATGATAAGTGTCAATACTGTCGTGTTTCAAGACACGATTTAACAAAATGTACGCAGTTTAAAAAAGCGCTAAGAAAAGATAGATGGCGATACATTAAGCGTAACAATCTTTGTTACAAGTGTTTACTGTCAAGTCATGAGCGCGAAACATGTCCGGCGCCCGCCTGCGATAAAGATGGCTGCGGCGGAGCGCACCACCGGCTTCTGCACTACCCCGTACCCACCGGGTGCAGGACTAGCAACGTCACCGCCGAACAAGTGAACGAATGTCCACCCGTGAGTGAAACTGTGACCCATATTAACGTAAATAATCAACAAGTGTTATTAAAAGTAGTGCCGGTAAAAATTCGTGGACCATACGGTGTTATTAATACCACCGCCTTACTTGATGACGGTTCAACTGTGTCGCTCATAGCTACCGATCTCGCTAACCGCGCGGGACTGAGCGGCCCCAGCGACACATTACGTATGTGTGGTGCATGGAATAATTCTGTAAATTTATGTAACACTACTGTTGTAACCTTTGATATTTTCTCTGTAAATTCATATGATAATAATGATGTGTATACTGTAAAAGCTCGTACCATAAATAATTTAGATTTGCCTATACAAGATTTATCTACTGTTAATTACAACTTGTATAAAAATTTGCGTAAAATTAAAAATGAATTGTGTATAAAAAAATTGAAACCTGAAATACTATTAGGGCAGGATAATTATCATTTGTTAATTCCTTTGCAAACTAGTTTAGGTAATAAGAATGAACCCGTCGCTACACGCACTCCCTTAGGTTGGTGTATACATGGTTGTTTAGGTATACCGGAACATAAACAATCGTCCCACTCGACCCTCCTTATCTCTGAGTTACACAGCTTACCAGTCGACGAGAGCGAGCGCATGTTACGAGACATCCATGACGAGGTGCGACGGTCATTCACCATCGAGTCCATGGGAGTGTCAGGTAAGCCACGGGAGAATGCTGATGATATCCGTGCCCTGACAGTGATGGAGCAAACTGCTACACTCATCAACGGCAGGTGGGAGGTTGGGCTACCATGGAAAGATGAAAGCTGCAGGATGCCAAATAGCTTCCCTAACGCTGTACGCAGATTAAAAGGTATAGAAAAGAAAATTATGTTAAATACGGAATATGGTAACAGGTATGTCGAACGTGTTAATCATTTATTACAAAATGATTATGCCAGAGAGTTGGAAGATTGCAGTGTCTCGCCACGGACATGGTACTTACCACATTTTGGGGTAGACAACCCAAATAAAAAAAAACTACGTCTGGTCTTCGATGCCGCAGCTAGCACAAATGGTTTGTCATTAAATGACTATCTACTGAAGGGGCCGGACCTACTTACATCTCTGTTCGGCATTATGGTAAGATTTAGGGAGAACAGAGTAGCGGTGACCGGCGATATAAAAGATATGTTTTTAAGGATAAAGGTAAGAGAAGAAGACCAGAACGCACTCAGATTTCTGTGGAGAAGCAGTCCTGCAGAACATGAAAAAACGTACGTGATGACGTCATTAATATTTGGCGCGAAATGTTCACCGTTCATAGCTCAATTTATTAAGAATAAAAACGCACTAAGGTATGAGTCATCGATGCCAAACGCCGTAGCAGCGATATGTAATCAACATTATATGGATGACTACATAGACAGTTTGCCAGACGAGGCCGCCGCCATAACAATGGTACGTAATATTAGTAAAATTCACAAATCAGGTGGTTTTCATATTTGTAATTGGACTAGCAACAGTCCAGCCGTATTGGATAGTATTCCAAAGGAGTCCTTAGGTACTACGGCCGTAAAGTTCAAAATAGATCAAGAATGCGAAGGTGAACGTACGCTCGGATTGATATGGTACCCGCGCGAAGACGAGTTGGGGTTCGATGTGTCTCTCAAGCGCATACCACATGACATAATTAATGGTAAGAATAGACCAACAAAAAGAGTTATGCTCAGAGTCATAATGTCAATATTCGATGTATTTGGATTCTTATCGCCATTTTCTATACAAGGTAAAATAATGTTGCAAGATACCTGGCGCGCTGGAATCAGCTGGGACGACTTAGTAACAGATGACATACATAAAAAATGGTGTCAGTGGGTCAATGTACTAACGAGTGAAATAAAAAATATCCGTCTGCCGAGGTGGTATCAAGCAGCGACGAGTGGGAGCGAGTCAGCGATAAAACGTAGCACATCAGTTCAGGTAAACATAACCTCTCTCACCTCTCTTACATCTACAAGCGTAACCGAACGGGCTATCGGCTACGAAACTGGCGTAGCTAATAGCTGCGCTACGACATCCCGCTGCAATGACGTAGTGACAGGCGCTACGAAACAGGTTTTGGCTGGAAGTGAATATAGTAATTTAGAGTTACACTTGTGTTGCGATGCGTCGACTAAAGCAATGTGCGCAGTCGCATACTGGCGATGGTACGTAAATAAAGATATATGTATGTCATTCATAGCTAGCAAGTGCCGTGTCGCGCCCGTGAGTCATACTACCGTGCCGCGTTTGGAATTGCAAGCTGCTTTATTGGCTGCGAGGTTGGCAGATACAATAATCAGAGAACACAAAATAAATCCAGTAAGGCGTTATTTTTGGTGCGACTCTAGTACCGTGCTACACTGGATATGTAATAATACACGTAGCTATAAAACGTACATAGCAAACCGGCTGGGTGAAATAGACGAGCTAAGCCGCCCTGAGGAGTGGCGGTATGTACCTACAAAATTAAATGTTGCTGATCTCGCTACGAGAGAAAATTACGACGATTCTCTTTTTAAAAATGAATGGTTTAGAGGTCCGTCATTCTTATACAGCGATGAGTCATCGTGGCCGGTGAATATAATCGATAAGATAAATGAAATGAGTTTAGAACGAGTAATGATAATACAACATGAAGATTGTAACTTACCTGTACCTGACCCAGGAAGATTTTCATGCTGGTTACGACTGGTGAGGGCTACGGCATGTATTCTAAAATTTATATACAAGTGTAGAAAGCAGATTGAGACTGTTTGCACAGTCATGAAGAGGGCTGAGCGATTGCTGCTAAAATATACACAAGAACAGTCATTCGGTGATGAAATAGCTGCAATTAAAAATGGTAACTGTTTGTCAAAAGGTAGTAAGTTACTTACGTTATCTCCATTTCTGGATGAGTACGGGATTCTCCGTGTCGGCGGCCGCATAGATGCTGCACCGGATGTTGAACCTGAAATGAAGAGACCTATCATCTTGGACGGGCGTAGTCAGGTATCTCAATTAATTGTTAGATACAACCATGTGAAGACAGCCCACGGGAACCAGGAAACCGTTGTAAACAACCTGAAACAGAAATATTGGATTATTAGAATACGTCCAACCGTAAAACATGTAGCATATAAATGTATGTTTTGTAGAATAAAAAGAGCAAAACCACAGGTACCGAGAATGGGAGAGCTGCCTGAAGCACGACTGGCTCATCATCAGCGTCCTTTCACACACTGTGGTCTGGATTTGTTTGGACCCATGGAGGTCACTGTGGGGAGACATAGAGAGAAAAGGTATGGAGTTTTATTTACTTGTTTGACCGTCCGTGGAATCCACTTAGAACTGGTATCATCACTTACCTCTGACTCCCTCATTATGGCTCTTCGTCGAATGGCAGCAAGACGGGGTTGGCCTCGTATGCTGTACTCTGATAATGGTACAAACTTGAGAGGCGCTGATGCTGAGCTGAAGAAGTCTATAAATGAGGTAGATTTTGATAGGCTAACAAATGAAGCAGCTAATAATGGAGTGGAATGGACCTTCATCCCGCCTGCCAGTCCCCACTGGGGTGGGGCATGGGAGCGACTTATTAGGAGTGTAAAGACTTCACTTAGGGTAATTTTAAAAGAACGTGCACCACGTGAAGAAGTACTCAACACGCTCCTGACGGAAGTTGAGAATATTGTCAACAGTCGACCCTTGTCACATGTATCGGTAGAAGTAGGTAGTAGTGAGTCTCTAACTCCTAATCATTTTATGTTGGGTTCGTCATCAAATTTGCCAACTGTTGGTGTATTTAATGACTCTGATTTGTACCTACGTAAACAGTGGCGTAAGGCGCAGAGGCTCGCTGACATGTTTTGGAAGCGGTGGGTCAGAGAAGTGCTTCCTGACCTAATACCTAGGCGTAAATGGCAGTACGACCAGACACCGATACAGGTAGGTGATTTTGTACTTATTGTCGATCCTGATGCACCTCGTAATTTCTGGCTGAAAGCTGTGGTTCAGCAGGTGTTTCCAGGAAGGGATGGTCGAGTTAGGGTCGTAGAATTGAAAACTAAGACTGGCATTTTGAAACGGCCGGTGACGCGTGTCGTTCGTATTTCGATGGATAATGAGTGCTGAGCCAGGCTCAACACTGGGGTGGGGTGTGTAAGCGACGCGTTCTGTGCCTTTAAAAACAAAATAATTAAAATGATGTTTGTCTATGTTATTGTCTCTGCATGCGGTGTCGTAGTCGTTTTCAAAAAAACTTATAACCGGCGCAACAGACGCCACGCAGTCTGCACCTAGATGCGATCGACACCGCACGTCATATCTCTAATTAACATTATAAAATTTATGTGTCGAAAATAAATCCAATTGTCTTAAAAGTCTTCGTTTGCCATCACCGTGACCTACCATATTTTATACCATACAACCACTACGCATATCACGCCATCACGTGATAGCGCTCTTTCGTTGTCATTCCGTAGGACTAAGATACCAAGCATCTTCTACTATAAAAAACAATTACTACAGCTGCAGTACAGCAAGCTGCTTGGATACTAAAATAAATGAAATTGTAGTACATGTTTAATGCAGATGACTTTTTAGCAATTAAACATCGGAAACTATATATTACCATTTCTATCTACATTTTATGTACTTAAACTTTATCCTTAACCATATAGTATAAATGAATCAATCTAAGCAAGAAAGGGATCTGATACCCTTTATTTGCATTACACATCAAAATTTAGTGGCATATAAGGAAGAACAAATCCAAACGTGCGTCCCTAACTGTTTAATTTAAATAAAATATTACCCTTCTACCTGCTCGGGTATTCGTTCATCTCAGTTGGAACTTACGGTATTTTTCCGAATCTTTGGCTCGGTGCCCTGCAATACGAACCTTTCACTACGTAGGGCCCAATGCCGTTTAAAT